CACGGATCTGGGGGTCAGGACGGATCGGATCCGCCACCAGCTGCTCCCCCAGCAGAGCCGGAGCGTCCCTTCCAGCCCATCCCCTCTGGTGTTACTAATTGCCCTGCTCTCTCTCCTCATTTCCCCAAGATGCTAAAATAATTCCAGAACCAAGACTGGAACGGAGATTTAAAGCAACAAAGCCAGAAGGGGGTCTAAAACCCATTTCAGGCCAGGCAGCCCCTCTTCCTTCCGCCCCCCCCAGGGGGAAAATGGCTTTGGAGCTAAAGGGCCCCCTGCCCTGTCTCGCTCCTGCCCACCAACCCAGCCGGCCTGCAAGCAGCAGGGGCTCCTTTGCCGGACCCAAGGGCTCCCCAGGGTCAGGCAGTTCATCTCGGTGGACAGTTCCATTCCAAACGGGTTTGCCGTTTCAAGGTTGGCGCTGGCCCAAGAATTAGGCTTGGAAGGGAACCGACAGAATGGCCTTGGCCACCCCCACCCACAAGCATGTGGGCTACAGCCTTCTGCCCTTCCTGAAGCTCTCAAAGTGCCTTCAAAGGCTGCCCCGTGTCATGTCCACAGCCATGTCCAGGGCCGTTGTCTGCTAGAGCCATTCAGACCAGAGCGGATTCTCACTGCCTATAGGCTGTGCAAGGGCCCTGCCCCCCCCCCCCACTGCAGGTGGAAGAGAGCTGTGCTTCCCACTGATGGGACAACAGCATGACTGGAGCATCAAAAGTGTTTAAGGCTTCAGGCAGGAAGGAGGGGTGCTTCACAGCATCCGTTAGGGGAGTGGAGGAGATACCCCACGGCTGCATCAGAGCTGCAGCCCCAGCTCTTAACTGCGGTTGGACGTTAAGAAGACCAAAATCATAACCACAGAAGAACACTGCTGTACATAACTTTAGCACTGACAGTGAAGAAATTGAAATAGTGAAAGATTTTGTATACCTCAATTCAACCCTCAATCCAAATGGAAAATGAAGCCAAGAAATCAGAGGAAGGCGGAGACTCAGAAGGCCAGCAATAAAGGAATTAGAAAAGATCATCAAGTGGTAAGGATGTGGCACTGGAGACCAAGACCGTCAGTAGGATTGTATTTCCATTTATATGTACAAATTTGAAAGCTGGATAGTTAACAAAAAAGCCTACAGGAAGAAAATGGATTCATTTGAAAGATGGTGCTGGAGGAGAGCTTTGCAGATACTCAGGACTTCCAGAAAGAAGTGGGTCCTGGAGCAAATCAAGGCCAGATTTCCTTTGGAAGCAAAAAAGGAAGAAACGGAGGCTGTCGTGCTTTGCTCACCTCACAAGAAGGCAAGACCCAATGGGAAAATATAATAATGCTAAGAAAAGCTGAAGGCAGCAGGAAAAGAGGAAGGCCAAGCAGGAGATCGATGGGCTCTGTCATGGAAGCCACAGCCTTCAATTTGCAAGAGCAGAGGCAGTGAGAGGACCTTCCACAGAGTTGCCATAAGCCAGGAGCAACTTTATGGCACGTAACACACGACACACTAAACATGGCAATATGGTTTTTGTCTTTCTCGGAAGACTACAAACGTTTGGCTTTGCTGCCTNGCGAAGCAGGAGATCGAGGGGCGTGGTCATGGAAGCCATAGCCTTCGATTTGCAAGAGCAGTGAGAGGACCTTCCATAAAGTTGCCATAAGCCAGGAGCAACTTTATGGCACGTAACACACGACACACTAAACATGGCAATATGGTTTTTGTCTTTCTCGGAAAAGACTACAAACGTTTGGCTTTGCTGCCTTTATTGAGAA